TCCTGGAGTCTGAGAAATGTGGAGGGTTGGAGGAAGGGCAAGTTTTCCCACGAGGAGGAAAGAGGCAGGGAGGAAAAATCATGGGGGCGGGGGCAGGCAGGGGCTGGACTGTGAAGGGGCTTGTGTGTCCTTCCAGAAGCTCACACTTGGTCTAGCAATGGGAGCGTGCTTTTTGGTTTTGCTTTTGTTTTTTTAAACAGGGTCTCCCTCTGCCACAAAGGCTGGAGCGCAGTTGCTTGATCATAGCTCACTACAGCTTCAAACTCCTGGGCTCAAGCCATCCTCCTACCTGAGCCTCCCAAGTAACTGGGACTACAGGTGTGTGCCACCATGCTGGGTTAATTTTTTTAACATTTTGTAGAGATAGGGGACATCTTGCTATGTAGCCCAGGCTAGTCTTGAACTCCTGGCCTCAAGCAATCCTCCTGCCTCAGCCACCCAAAGTGCTGAGATTACAGGTGTGAGCCACCATGTCTGGCTGCCCCCGAGGGCTTTTAAAGGAAAGTGATAGGATCACATTAGATTTTTGAAGCTGGCTCTGCATCAATGTGGAGGATAGATTGAGGGAGTTGACCTGGAGTCGGCACCTCTCAGGACATTGTTGCTTGCGCCCAAAGTTATGCTGGCGCACCAGGGTGTGGGGTGGGGGCAGAGCCTGGACAACCAGAAGGCAGGCTTCAGAGCATGATGATGGATGGACAACTTGGCACAAGAGAGGAGAGAAAGTTGGGTAACCTCATGTTTCTGGCTGCAGTCACCATGTGGGGGGTGGTGCCAGCCACTGCAACCACCCTGGAGGTTACACATTTAGGGACACAGTGGGACTCTTACTTATTTATTCCTTTGTTTAACACATTTTATGGAATGTCGACTATGTGCTAGGAACTATTCTAGGGGCAGAGGATACAGCAGGAAACTAAAAAAAAAAAAAAAAATCCTGAACATCCTTTCTGATAGAAGAGACAGACCATATGAAAAATAGGTGAAATCGTTAGTCTGTCAGGAGGTGAAGAGTATTATGGAGAATAATAGTGCTGGGAAGGGAATCGGGAAGTGGGTGGGATGGAGCAGACATTGTAGTTTTCAGTAAGGTGCTCAGAGGTCGTCTCACCGAAGAGATGACAAAGGAACTGAAAGAGACAGGAGCATGCCTGGAGGCTCCTGGAACACAGGAGAAGGCCAGGTGACTGGCATGGAGCAAGCCAGGTGGGAAAGTAGGACAGAGAAGTCACAGCCTGAGTGGGGGCAGAGGGCTAGTGTTTGGAGGTCACCGTGTGGATGGACTGATGAGGGCCTTTACTCTGAGGAAGGAGCCACCAGAGGTTTTTGAGCACAGCAGCGACATGCCATGACTTGTTTTGGGGCTAATCACTGGGGCTGCTATGTTGAGAACAGATTGTAAGGGGAGCAAAATCACTTGACCTTAAGAATGCCAACAAGGAGTGAGCAGAGAATGAGGAGGAGCAGGAGGAAGACCCAGGACAGAGGAGGCAGGAAGTCAAGGAAGGCGGATACTTTCCAGGGGAGGGAGACCCCAGCAAAGGCTGAGGCTCCCAAGAGGTCAAGTAGGATGAGCACTGAGCAGTGTCCCTGGCGGCAGCCACCAGGACTCCCTGTAGACCTTGGTAAGAACAGTTGGTGGAGTTGGGCACAGAAGCCAGATCAGCCTGGGTTGAGAGTGTCACTTAATCCTCCCAAGCCCCAGTGATCTGTACATTAATCCTGGAGTTAGGAAGACCCTCAAGGGAAAACAAGAAGTCCTGGTATGAGGCCCTTTGAGAGCCTCTGGTGCATCCCACCTCACTTAGCTGGAAATGTGGACAGAGCAATTTGTCCCAGCCAAGGTTCTTCCCATGTGTATTAGCATAATGTTAGTTGCCACAATGAATAAACCCCAAATTTGAGGGTTCAATACAATGACGATTTAGTTTTGCTTATGTAACAATCTAATGCAGGTACCTGGCAAATTGGCATTTTCCTTCCACGTGGAGATTCAGGGACACAGGTTCCTTTCATCTTGTAGTCCCACCGTCTACAATGGTTCCTAACCTTTTTTTTCTTTTTAATTTTTGAGACAGAGCCTTGCTCTGTTGCCCAGGTTGGAGTACAGTGGTGCGATCTTGACTCACTGCAACCTCTGCCTCCTGGGTTCAAGCAATTCTCCCTGCCTCAGCCTCCCGAGTAGCTGGGATTACAGTCGCCCACCACCATGCCTGACTAATTTTTGTATTTCACTATGTGGGCCAGGCTGGTCTCGACCTCCTGACCTCAGGTGATTCCCCCACCTTGGCCTGTTAGAGTGCTGGGATTACAGGCGTGAACCACTGCGCCTGGCCTGTTCTTAACCACTTTTATGTTTTGTATTCCTTTGAAGAGCTAATCAAAGCAATAGACCTTTTCACCATGAAAAGGATGTACACGTGCACATGCACACAGTTTGCACGCTCTCAAGGAGTTCACAGAATCTGTGAATCTACCTGTAGAACCCCAAGGGGTCTAGGGATCCAGGTGAAAACTCCTGTCCGGGGCCTCAGAGACCTCCGTGTCAGCTGGCAAATGGGGAAGATAGTGCAGAAAAGGCACACTGACTTTTTGAAAGCCCTGGGCTCTGCATGGAACACATCACGTCTACTCACATTTCACCAGCTACATGACCCAGCCTAGGTGCAAGAGGAGGCAGGAAGTATAGTCTGTGACAGGACAGTTCAACACTGTGGAAGACCCTAGATTTTGCTGGTAGCTCGCCCCGGTTCTGCCGCCTGTGGCACGTCCATGGAGATGTGCCAACAGGAGACTGCTTCTGACAAGGACGCTTTTTGAGTTTAATGCTCTCGTGGGCCATTTGCTGCCTCCCATCCAGTCGTGCTCACGCTGTTCCTTTTCCTTGGAGCCCTACTTAAGGGCCACCCCCTCCAGGACGGTTCCTCTGAACTTCTCGTTTAAGCAATCTCACCCTTTGAGCTAACCTTTTGTGCTAACAGCTGTGGCAGCACATGCACTCTTAGCCTCTGAAGAGGTCTCTGGGCACCCTTCATTTGGTCTTATGCTGAGGCAGCTCTCGTTGGTTGAAACGGATCTAATGTTTCTGTCCTGCTAGACTGTGCCTCACATACTCTGAGCATGTTTGATTTCTCTCCCAGCCCTCTGCCTCCAGCACACAGCCCTCCAAGATCTGTGCAGAACACACAGTGCGTGGCCATTCACACATGGGGCTCTCAGAGCAACAGGCCAGGGCAGGGATGCCCCCCTTCCCGGATTGAAGAGGAAATAGAGGCCGTAAGAGTTGATGGAAGTGACCCAGCCTTGCAGTCTGTGACAGGGCTTGACCTTGGTTCTGGGTCTTCCAACTCTAAAGCTAGTCCCCTTTCCACCCAAGCAAGAGCTGCCTACACCTTCAACCGCAGAGAGACAGGGGCACGCCCCCTGGCACCACAAGCAGCCTCTGTGCCGGAGCTGAGACTCCGAGGTCTGTGAGCAGTTGTAGACCCTTCGCTACCTGGCGATGCCTGGTGCACTGGAGGAGCTCTGCAAACGTGTGTGATGCGTGGATTTATGCATGGAGGAAAGAGGGGAGACTGTTTTCCCACTCCCTAGTACTCAGGATTTTTACTCTTCCCTCAAGAATCAACCGTTCCCTAATATGGAGGGGAGATGCAGGCATGAGGAAGAGACAGCCACAGTGAAAGCCAACACAGACAAGTCTGCCTCCTTGGACCCACACACTTCTCACTGCTGGATGCAATGAGGCTGAACTCAAAAGGAGCCCCAGCTTCTAAAGGAGTTCACGTTCCAGGAGAGAGGTCAGCCCCAGGGAGCCAGAGCGTGGGCAAGTGTAGGTGTACAACTCAGCCCTGGGCGCCGGGCTTCCACGTTCTGAATTCATTAAACTGAGACACCAGAGCACTTGGCTTTCCCTTAATTAATTAAAATATCACGGAATAATCATTGTCTGATTTAATGTTCAAGAAGCCCTGGTAAAGACTGGGAAGGAGGAAATTCATGAGCAGAGACTTTTAGTGTCGCTGGATCTGCCGTTCTTACTCATTTCTCCTGCACCATCCATCCCTGGAGGAGAGGGCGGGGCAGTGTTTTTAAAGATGTTGGAATTAATTTCACCATAAAACCTGAAAGAAAAACAAATCCACCTTAACTAAAAACTAGCCTTATTTGTATTTAAGGGGGAAAGCAGATACATTTGGGATTGAACATGGGCTGTGGAATTGTCTTCCTCAAGCCCAGTGGACAACAGAAGACAGAGATTCAGGCTGTCCACTGCTTACAGCAACAAGTTCAACCTCCTCTGTCAGCATTTACAGGTGTGGCCCAAAATGACCGCCGCCCACTACCACAGCTCTGAGCAGCAGCAACTGGCCATTCCTCCCTGTTCACAAACTACACTGCATTTCTCTACCCTGGCTCCTTTTTGCATGCTGTTTCCTTAGCCTGGAATCCCCCACACCCACTCCCGCCAGTTCAAATGCCTGCTTCCTCTTCTGGGAAGTCTTCCTTGATCTCCCTCTGCTCTAACCACAAAGCAGACACAGTAGGCTGCCAGGGATAGTGACCTCATCTCACCCATGCCTCCACTGGAGTCTGAGTTCGGGACCTGATTCTACCTACTTTCATATGGGAGGAATCCAGATGATTCCATCCATGACTTTCAGTGTCTTGTACCCGTCTGGCACCTGGAAATTGCTACCTAATGTGTGTGGGAGGGGGCAGAGCACATATCTCAGCAAGTGAATGAAGTACTAGAATGTTATACAGCAGGACACACACAGTCAAGGGCAGTAGTGTAAGATGATTAAGGCTGGTTAAAAATTGCGGGCAAGGTGAACGGTGGGGCTGTGATCATAGCCCAGGTGTGAGAGATAAGGAGGGTCTAGACTAAGTAGCTGAAGTGGGCATGCAGACAGGACGCATGAGGGATGATAAAGGAATACCAGTGGGACCTGCACCCACCTATACAGCATTCCTACAACAAAGACACCACAAAGACCGTCCTTAAAAACATTTATTTTCAGGGTGCAGAGGTCGTTACATCATGACATCTACAAAAACAGTAGAAAAACCCAGGTTTGGTGCGGGGAGGGGAGGGCATTGTGATTATGTCTGCAAATGCTAACAGCTGCGGCAGCAGATGCTCTCTTAGCCTCCGAAGAGGTCTCTGGGCTCTCACGCTTGAAAAACCATGAGGTTGGAACAATCATGTTAATATGCCTTTTTGGTTTTGGTGAGAATTTCAGACAGTGTGACATTAATTATTTATCTGTCTTTGCACAGAATGATGATGCTAAAGCCAACCCCATACAGTCTTGATGCTCAGTACTTCCAGCATGGGCTCTGTCCACCCTGCTCTCTGGGTCCACATCCAGCCCTTCAATTTTCACTAGGCAAATTTGAGAGGAGTCCATTGAGTTAGCAAAATGTGCTTATTAGCAGGTGTGGGATGTTCTACTACCTTCTTCAGAACCACAGCATCCCTGTTCCTTCTCACATCATTTCACTAAGGGTCCGACCAAATCGTCTCCCAACCACTCAAGACACAGAAGAATTAACTTCAGGCCCTCCCACGTGGAAGTAAGTCAGTGCGTGGGGAAGGGAGGGGTGGGAGGTGCTGAGTGAGGAGGGGATGTAAGCAGGTCTTCTGGCAGCTCCAGACCCCCGTGGACAAGAGCAGCTTCCAGTGCCATCCATTTCAATTCTCATCTTCTGTTTTCAAAGAGAACTTCCAATGTTTTAAAGTTTGAAAACCACTCATCTAGTTTTATTCCCCTTTTACTCAAATAAGGACACTGAGGCACAGAAAGTGAAGGAGACTTGCTCAGGGTCACACAGCAAGCCAGGGATTAATATGCAAATGGATCTCATGTTTCCAGAATCCCAGGCCAGTCTCCTTCTGCTGCATAGTACAGAAGGTGATGCCATCCCAATATTTTAGATATGGAATGGCAGGCTTACAGGTGGAAAGTTCACTTCGAACGAGGACTCCAAAATGTAATGCACGATGTGAGCGGTATGAAAGGGTGCCTTAAAAGTTGGGAAGAGTCTTGATGAGAGTCTCTGAAGCCTGTGGATTGGCAACATCTGCCTTTACATAGTTTTGAGATGACCCTGAGTAGCAGCACCGTGGATAGAAAAGTGACCAAGGAGGGCCAGGTGCCCTGAGTTCTGCTCCTCTTTCAGAGGCCTTCAGACCTTGGGCAAGTAGCTTTTCCTCTCAGAGCCTGGTTTCTTCATCTGCGAAAGGCAGCGACATTAACACCTTTCCTGCCCCCTCTCCCGGAGTTGGGATCAAGCTTTATGAACTTCAAGGACTGTACATAGTAAAGGATCTCAATTCTTATTTTAAAAATTGTAATAACCTAAGGATCGATTTTTTTAAGACAAGATAGCAAATATTCTCCTTTCTCTTTTCATTAAAAAAGAAAAAAAAAAGAGAGTTTTATTCTTGGGTGAGGTCAAAATGTTTATGGGTAAAATATATTCGACTACAACCTAATTCCACAGTCTGGAGATAATGGCTAACCCCTCCTTTTTTTTTTTTTTTACAATTTGACCATCAGAAGCCTGGTCTCCACTGCTTCTAACCACCTGTTTAGAGAATGCTAGGCTAAGCCAGGCATAGTGGCTGATGCCTATAATCCCAGCACTTTGGGAGGCCAAGGCAGGAGGATCACTTGAGCACAGGAGTTTGAGACCAGCCTGGGCAACATAGGGAGACCCTATCTCTACAAGAAAAAAAAAAAAATAGCTGGGTGTGGTGGGGCATGCCTGTGGTCCCAGCTACTCGGGAGGCTGAGGTGGGAGGATCACTTGAGCCCAGAAGGTGGAGGTTGCAGTGAGCCATGATCACACCACTGCACTCCAGCCTGGGTGATAGAGCATGACCCTGTCTCAAAAAATTTTTTTAAAAAGAGAATGCTAGGCTAACAAATGGATGCTCTGGTCTCCAAAGATCCAGCCAAGGTGCTCCTGAGTCTGGTAAAGCATCCCACCTAAAACTAAGTCTCCTTAAAAGGGAAAAAGGTAGGAATAGGAGAGCTACAGCCAGCTGTCCACACCCTGGGGTGAAGCAATGGAATTTGTTTCTGAGGGAATACCATTTTAGAAGAACACTAAGACCACATCTCCTGTAATTTTTCCAAAGGGCCATCTTACTCTAGGATGGCAGGGCTAAAAGGGACATTGATAACATCCAGTTAAAACACCATACTCACAGATGAAGGGACCAGGGCCCAGAGGCGGGAAGGGACCTGTCCAGGTCACACAGCAAGTTACAGTCAGGCAGAGGACAACTGCGACCCTCATCCCTCCTTCTACAACGCACACTAAGTCACAGAGCACCACTAATAGGTCATAGACAAATGAGGTAAAGAGTCACAGCTGACACGAGCCCTTTAGAAATTGCAAACATGCCAATCTGTGATCTGCCTGGAAAAGAGTAATTAAAAAAAGACTTCTCATGGAACAATTCATTTCAAAAGTATAAAAAAAGCCACATGCAAATCCGTTTCTCACTGTTTGCCCTGCTAAAAACTACACCTGCATACAAATCTAGTTTGCATCTAATTTTTAAAAACATACAAAAGGGGTCATCTACAAACACAGGTTTTCCAACTCTTCACGAAGCACAAAGATCCATTATTTGACTTTTCCATCATCCTATGATCAATGTTTCTAAGACCCTAGGAAGAAAAGGAGAAAAAGAATTAGCGAAAGTAAGCCTGCTCTGTTACAATCAACTACGTGTTACATGGAAGGTGGGGGAAATGATCCTTCACTTCAAATCTCTCCCCAGCAGGAAATGGTGCCAATGGGGAGTGAAGGGCCCTGTGGAGCCCCGAGAAATACTTTCAAGACCAAAAGCTGGACATTTCAGAGTGGCAGACTCCAGTTTAATAAGAAGAAGACCTTTTCAACCATTGGAAAATCCACAGATGGCTATCAGTGGTAGTGAGCTCTGTATCCCTGGAGGTACGCAAGCCAGAGCTGGCAATACTGTGTGTCACAGAAGGAACCCAAGACCCAGGCAGCAGTGATGGTCTTAAAATTCCACAATTTTTCATGGTATCCTTTTCATGTATTCACACCCCAGAATCATTTCTGCCTCAAAATATATGTGTATTTGAAAATTATAGAGATATATATTTAAAGCTGGAAACATATCTATATAAAACAAGTCACATATCATCAGGAATACAATTTTAAGACCCAATCTCCTAACTCTTTGTTGAATTCCTATTTCACAGTTTTACATTTTCATATTTTTCTCCCCATTTCTAGGGCCTCTTAACTACTCACGTACACCCATCCTTCAACCCTAATGCCACCTCCTTGATGATTCTTCCTTCATTTTCCCCAGTTCTAAGCTGCTTTTTGTGCTTTAACATCTCCTCCCATTCCCTTAACATCGCATTCCTTGTATTATAATGATGTCCACTTTTTGTTTTTCTGTGATCCCCTACAGACCAGAAGTAAGGCCTGGCACACAGAAGGCGTGCAACAGTAGTGGCTAAAAGAGTAATATAACTAAAACCATGGCAAAATCCTCTTGCTTTTGAGAAACGCTATCAGACTTGTTTCTAATTTTTCCTGTTCTATTAAGCACCTGTTGATCAGTCTTGGTAATGGTGCCTGTTCACCACTGCTCCCCCATTCCTGTAAGAGGATCATGCAGGCCAGGCACAGTGGCTCACAACTGTAATCCCAGCACTTTGGGAGGCCAAGGTGGGCGGATCATGAGGTCAGGAGATGGAGACCATCCTAGCTAACACCGTGAAACCCCGTCTCTACTAAAAATACAAAAAAAATAGCTGGGCGTGGTGGTGGGCCCCTGTAATCCCAGCTACTCAGGAGGCTGAGGCAGGAGAATGGTGTGAACCCAGGAGGCAGAGTTTGCTGTGAGCTGAGATCGCATCACTGCACTCCAGCCTGGGTGACAGAGTGAGACTCCATCTTAAAAAGAAAAAAAAAAAAAAAGGGATCATGCAATCCTTGCCCTTTTGCCTCTGGCGAGTGAAGCACACATCCTCCCACACACAGTCCCCACTGGGAATCCCAGACCTATTGATTGGTCTGTAAGTGGGCGGGGCACACATCACATCCCAGCAGAAACTTTAAATGCAATGGTGTGTGCAGCTTGGCCACAGAACGGACATGTTCCATACTGGAGCTGTTCCTCCAGCTGGGTCCTGAATGAGGGGGCACATGGGGCAGGGCCACAGCCAGCTCACAGCTATAACATGGAACATGAGCAAGTGATCAACGTCTATGGGTGTGAACCAGCAAGATTTTGGGATTTTTATGGAGCAAAAGCTGGCTTATAAAGTGATTCCTTTCCCGAATTCCCAGTTCACCTGTAGGCAGGGAACAGATGCAACCCCAGCTGTCAGCTGTGTGACTACCGACTAGGAGGGGTCACACAAAGGGGATGCGGAGATTCTCTCTGCCCCCACCCACAAGCGGATGTGTTGCGAAGCAGCATATAGTGTTGAGGACAGGAAGGCAAGGCCTGAGCCCCAGGAAGGAAGCTCAGGCGTCCTGAACAAGGAAGAGCTCCAGGAACACACAAAGGAAGCTCAGGCATCTTCTTTGCGGAATATTTTCACATGGACGTGGTCACAATGACACTGTCTGCTACCTCTCTCAGTGCTCGTTCTAGAAGAATACAGAGGAAATATTCCCTCCAGCCCCAAAACACAACTGGTCTTTTCATCTCATGGACACACATCATGTTCACTGCTCTTGCCTTTGCATGCTAAGAAGCTCAGAGGGAGCTGTGTGCAGAATATACCAGAGATTCTACTGCTCATCTTAGTATGTTCCTAATCTTCTTTTGCTCTCTCCCTGGTTTCCTCCATTTATGTATTTTTCTTCCTTTTTATTACAGGTCTTATAAGCCACTTCAAATATCTCATAACTTGGGTGTAAAATACTAAAAATGACTTAGAACATGTACATTTCTCCATCACATGCGGTCATCGGGAGCTGGGAAGCGGAAGCTTCTGTATTTACTCAGATCTAGAACCGTCACCGTGCTGTGGGACTCAGCCTCTCCCACCATGTTGGCTGCATGGCACTGGTACACACCCTCATCCTCCTTTCGTAGGGGGTTGATCTAGAAATACAACAGGCAAGTTTATACAGTTATATAAGGTACAGCAAAATGACTTCCTTAGTTCTTAATAAGTCTGCACACCTCCTCCTTTTCAGAATAAGGTAAAACTTGCTCTACTTCTCCCCTTGCCTTGGCTGCCAAGGAGCATGAAGGTAAATTTCCTTCCCAGGGACCCTCTTGAAAGGCACGCTCCCTACTGTGGCTGTCATCTGAATGATTCCTCCACATGCCTGCCATGTACTGCGAGCTACCTGTAAATGGTATGCCATTTTGTATTAAAGGTGCAAGGTATAGATTATTTGGAAAATACCTCAAGTTAAAAAAAGAACAAAAATCTACTGACCAAAGAATTATCCACAAAGTATTCCCTATAGGGGCAGCCTCTACAAAATATCACCAGAGATAACCTCTTTGTCCCTGTCTTTTCTCCTAAGAAAATGGGGGAATGTGCTTGATTTGAAAAAAAACACATAACCAATTGCATTCACAATCTCTCAGCTGGGTGGAGAAGAGTCACCAAGCCTCCCAGAGCTGTGGGTGGAATGAGGAGGTTGTCCTTAGGGAGCACCCCGAGGATACTCACAGCCAGGTCCATAACCAGCTCGCTTCTCTTTTGCTTTCTCTTGTTACAACCAACCGCTTCCATCAATTACAAATCATGCTACGGACCACACACTGGGGTATGCACATCAGCTCGTTTTAAACTCATGCCAGTCGTGGGGGAAGGGTGAGCATTATGGTCTTCTTTTTACAGGAGACTCACAGGTAAATCACAGACTGTCAGGGCCACAAAGGCCCTCAGAGGTCATTCAGTTTGAAGCCCTCTTTTAACAATAGTGGAAATGGAGGCTCAGAAAGGTACAGTGACTGACCCAACATGGACCCCTATCTCCTCATTCCATCATTCCTTCAAACATGTGGCATTCTTCATCTTAGTAAAAGTGCTGCGAGTGGCAGGAAAGAGCTCTGGAGGAGGACTTGAATGTGCCACCTTCCTCCTTTACCAGCGGGTGACTTTAGGCAGGTGTACTAGTTTCCTTGGGCTGCTGTAACAAATCGCCACAAGCTGAGTGCCTTAAAACAAACACATTTATTATCTACAGTTTTAGAGGTCGGAAGCCCAAAAGGCTAAAATCAGTGGGCTAAAATCAAGGTGCCGGCAGGGCTGCGTTCTTTCTGAAGGCTCTCAGGAGACTCATTTTCTTGCCTTCTCCAGCTCCTAGTGGATGCTGGCACTCCTTGGCTGTGGCCCTTTCCAACATCATCAAAGCTAGAAATGGTGGGTCAAGTCCTCCTCACATCGAATCACTTCAGTCTGCCTCTGACTCTTCTGTTTCCCTCTTCCACACTTAAAGACCCACCTTTAAATTGGGCCACCCGGATAATCCAGGCTAATCTCTTTATCTTAAATCTCCTTATCTCAGCGGTTTAGCAACAACAACCTCCCTCCCACCACCTTGCCATGTAATGTCGTACGGTTCTGGGGGTGAGGACGTGGACATCACTGTGGGGCCATCACTCTGCCCCTGGCAGCAGATCACATGTGTTCCCAGCAGATCTGAAACCTGCCCTGCCTGCCTCACAGTTACTGGAGGGGCCAGTGAGAAATGGGTAAGAACAGCTTTGAAACATGTAATACGTTGTAGAAATATAAAGGATGGTTTTTAATGGTCAGTCAATAATATCCAATAATCCTAAACACTCACCAAAATCCAGGCCGTGGCCTCATGGTCGGAAGGACCCCCTCGCACCTGGACAGCTATATTGACATGGTCCCCAGGCAGCTCCTCCAGCGCTTGGGTGCCCTCAGGGGACTGCATGACCTACAGGGGACAGGAACGCCAGGAGGGGCCTTAGAAAAAGCATTTCTGGATAAAAACCATCCCACAGGCTTCCTCACCCTCCTCCTTCCTCCTCCTCCCACTGACTCAAAGACTGAAACCCTAGCACTGCTCATTCCTATGCAAATGACATCAGTCATGTTTTAAACCTACTTGTACATATAGACAGCACGCTCTGCCAGACAGCAAAGACACAAACATCACCACTAGCCCACAGAAGGATTCAGAATTTCAACGCCCGTCTCAGGCCTGCTGACATTAAGGGGACAACATACACTGTGATCCTTGCCGGTCTCTCAAAAACTAGTCTTTAGAAGATTTGGTTTTGGAATAGGACTAAGTCTTCTGCCATCAGCCAGGTCTGTCTGAAACACAGCCCTGAAGTGAAGCAGGATACACACACACATGGCCATCGCAGCTGATGCAGACTGGGTAAAAGCAGAGCTTTCTGGGTCCTTAAGTGGCCAAGGGTGTAAATGGCACAGGAAGGGTTGCAATGTCCCTTTCTAAGGGGACAGCTTTGGGGTAGAAGTTTCGAGGCAGAGGAGTGGTACAGAAGATATCCTTTCTTCATCCTCTGGCCCACCTATAAAAGCATATATACAAACACATTTAAAAGAAAAACATTTTACCACTCACTTCTTTCTGTTTCTCCCTGTCTCTTTCACATACATACATACACACACACACACACACACACACACACACGAGACGCGTGAGTTCTTGGACAGAAATACCTTTCTCCACGTGATGACTGGGGTAGGCACAGCCCTCACTTCACAGGACAGGCCCACCTGCGCCCCAGTGACATTGTGAACACTTCGGGGAGGAACGACGACCACAGGAGCTAAGAGGAGGAGACAAGGGGATGCAACCTTTACCCTGTCAGGTTCCAGGCAATCCACCTCTGAATTTCCCTGCCCACTGAGAGCCTGCTGGGATGTCCTGAAATGAGGGGAGCGGCATGTCACACTTGGGCAGGAATCCTAAAAGAGAGATTTCCTCAGACCTGGAGAGCTGCCTACTGATCTCCTGATCCATCTTTGTTTTACCAGTGGGGAAACAGGGGTCCGGCGGGGAAGGGCGACTTCCCAAAGTCCCCCAGCGCCATCTGTGGCAGAGCTTGGGCCTCAGTGCTCCCTCCCAAGGCCCGTTCCAGGCTCCAGCTGCCATCTGCTATAGCTCAACCAGGAAGCACGGCAACCGACTAGAGGGGCTGGTGTCACGCCACCAACGGCAGAGTCTTCTAACAGATGGGCCTTTCTCCTTCCGCGTGGAGGGCGTTAGGAAGAAGAATGCCAGGCAGAACAGCTGCACACACCCTGGAGCTCAACCCCCTGTGGTCCATTCAAGATGCCCATTTGCATGCACAGAGTAAAGACTCCCCCAGGCTCCCCCACTCCCTCTGCCTCCCCATCCCCAGAAGCCGACCCCAGCCTGGGCAAATCAGGGAATCAGACAAATGTGGTTCTAGACTGCCAGAACATGATGGAGAGGAGAGGGGAGGTGTGGACTCTCTGGACAGGACCCGATGTTAGATGTTTCAAGCTGCTACTCCACACTCTGCCTTCCTCCCTGTGTCTGGCATCTGCTCTGCTCATGCTGGGCTGGAATAATCAAGGCTAGGTGTTTCTACCTGCTGTCACCTGCACTGGACAGCAACTCAGCCACCCCGGCATCCAGCACCACAGTGTGTTGGGCAAGGTGCAGTGTGGAGGCCTGGCCAGAGCGTGCTCACACACAGCTGTCATCAATAAGGTGGGGATCACACCCCTGCTTCCTAGGGCAGTCAAGCTGATCTAACCATGGAATGACGGTGAAAAGTGTAAGTTAACGTAATATGCAAGTGAGGGCCAGGAGCAAACAGATGACTGGATGAACAAACACATGACAAATCAAGGAACAAACATGTTCATTTCCAGGTCATCGAACTGCAGAGTCTAGAACTCCTAGGGCTTTGCCTGGTGACTCAAGGACAGCCCTGTTGTTCTCCACAAGCCTGCACCTGCATAAGGCTGTAATACAAAAGGATGGCAAAGGGAGGAGACAGAAGGCAGGAGGAAGGAGGTGACGGACAGGGTCGCATCACACCCAAATGCACAGGAGGATCAGGGTGCAGAAAGGAGACTAGTTTGGCCCCTCCAGACAGACTGGGAAGAAGACCCTGTCAAGCCAGTGCCAAAAAAAATCTCTGGAAAATCGCCTTAGAGCCATAGCCTCAAACTAGAGGGGCTCGTTAGCATCCTAATTCTCTGTGATTCTGTGTCTGACCATGTATGACATGCTCACCCAGCCTCCATTTGCATGCCTCCAGGGATGGAGAACTCACCACCTATCAGGCCAGGCCATTCTGTCTTTGGAGGGCTCTACTGGTAAGAAAGTACATCCTCACCTAGAGCTAAAGCCTGTGACTCCCACCTGTTGACCCTGGGGCGGCCCTCTGGAGCCCCATAGCCCCTGGTTGTCCCAGCAGCCCACCAGGGAGTTGAATGCAGACTGCCCTCCCCATCCCAGGCTGCTTTCCTCCTCTTCTATCTGATCCACCCACTCTTCAGCTGTGCCCATCTGAGGGCCCTCTGAAGGCTGGTGCCCAATCCATGTGCCTGAGTGTAGCCAAAGCCCCTGGAACCAAGATCCTAGATGTCTAACGTTGCCTGACAGCCACAGAGAGCCACAACACTGAGCTCTCTGGCAGGAGCCCTATCTGCGATGACAAAGACAGTCTAATTTATTCACATTGTCCCGCCAGCGCCTCCCCAACCACACAAGTGCTGGGATGCCGCCTCCAGGGGAGCCCAAACCGGTGCTCCAGTGGCTCACTGTGGTGACAGTCAGAAGGACCTGGATACCAAGGGGACGCTCAGTCAGCGTGGTTTACTTTTGTTCATGTAAAGTCATACATTTTAATTGTGATTTCATCAATCCCTTCCAGGCCTAAATGAGTAAACCAGTAAATCACAATTCACCTCTCTCTCCTCATATTTCAGTCTCTCTCTCTCTTTCAACAACTACAGTTAAGAAAGACTGTCTTGGAAATATTGACTTTGTAACTGATTTTGTGGCAAAAAATACCAATTCTTTTACAAAAGAGGCCCTGCTTTTAAAGGGAGGTCAAAGCACATTAAAGGGACGTTTAAATTTTTATTTATTTATTTTTACATTTACATAAAGCACAATTCGTTCTTTCTGGTGTGCAGTTCTAGGTTTTGACAAACGGATACAGTCATGTAATTACCACTATAGCCAAGATACAGAACAGTTGTTCTGTGACCTCAAAAAATTTCATGTTGCTTGTGCCATAATAATCCGGTTCTAATTTTTTTTTTTTTCAGGCAGGGTCTCATTCTGTCACTCAGACTGGAATGAAGTGGCACAATCATAGCTCACTGTAGTCTCAAACTCCAGGGCTCAAGCAATCCTCCTGCCTCAGCCTCTTGAGTAGCTGGGAATACAGGCATGCACTACCATGCCCAGCTAATGAAACAAATATCTTTTTTTTGTAGAGATGGGTCTTGCTATGTTGCTCAGGCTGGTCTTAAACTCCTGGCCTCTAACAATCCTCCCATCTTGGCCTTCCAAAGCTCTGGGAATACAGGCATGAGTCACTGTATTCCCAGCCCTGTTTTTAATTTTAACATCTCTGATTTTAAATTTAAAATATTTTTATCCATAGTAGCTCTTTTTAATAAATAATTATCACAGTACCAGTAATAACAGTAATTATACTATCAGCTAGCACACTGCTCACTGTGTACTAAGCACTTTTCTGCCTACAGGTATTAACCTGTTTATCTCTCCAGCAATCTCACCAGCTGCCAGATGGTGGCGCTGCCCTGGGTTACCCAGCATTAAAGGGTGCAGAGTGAGGAGGCTATGAGCCCAGTGATCTGGCTCCAGATCTCAAGCTCTTCTGAACCACTGTGCTAACACCATCCTCCCTTTTCCTTAGAGGACCCTCCCATGTACACTACCCTTTAATCCTCACACCAGCTCTGTGAGGTAGCAGCTTCCATCCCCATTTTACAGATGAGAAAACCAAGACTGAGAAAGGTAAAGTGCCCAGAGAAACAGGGACTCAAACCCAGCACCACGATTCCATTCACTCCCACACTGGTTTCTGAAGTGGAACATTTGTTATCTGTATGGTCTCCGTTCCAGAGTAAGAGATGAGTTGCTTAGGCATTGTGTTGGGGGATCCCCAAGACAACTCTCCAGTTCAATGATTTCCTAGGAGGACTAGGAGGACTCACAGGACTCAGCATACAGTGGTGCTCAGGCTGTGATCTATTACAGTGAAAGGATTTTCCCCTCTGGCAAAATCAGTCAAGGGAAAAAGTCAGGGTAGGGGAAGCAGGCACAAGCTTCCAAGAGCCCTCCCCATGGCGTCACAAGCATGTGAAATGCTGTCTACCACAGAAGCTCAAGAGGGACTCGGTTCCCAGGGTTTTTACTGGGAGCTGGCCACAGGGGCACTCTCTGCCTAACTGAATACCTGAAGTCCACACTCTGAGAAGGAAAGCAGGGGTTCCGCATAAACCACATTGTTTGTACAGTTCAGGCACAGTGAGCCACTCTCATCAATTCTGAGAAGAGTGGAACCCCCCTGTAATCTAAGTCCCCAGATACCAGCCCAGGGCCAACCTTGCCAGCAAGCCTTTCTGAGGATATGGTCACAGGCCTGCCATGTTAGCTCTTTTCTATACAATAATGAAACATCCCAAACATCACCCCCAGGGAACAGCTCTTGTGAAGATAACCCCTAACATGAGCAATGTGTCCTTGACACCAGCAGGACATTTCTAGTTCCTACTATCCCCAAGGGCTCACTCCAGCATGGCACTGGAGCGCTCAATGTCATGGCTGCCACCATAGGCAGGAAGGACAGCGTGGCAGGCAGGGGTGGAAGAGTCCAGGTTCAAATCCTTTCTCTGCCAGGTCTTAGCCTCAGTTTCTTCTTCTTTAAAATGGGCACAGGAATCTATTCCCTCCCCAGCCCACTCCCCAAAGGCTGCTGTGAGGAACAATTGCAAGACCCTTTACAAAATGTAAAAGGCCTCTGCAGAGGGACTTGAGGACTCAGCAGGGTGTGCTGTCCCTAGGCAGTCTCCTCTAAAGCTCTTTGCCTGCATGAGACCCTCCTCTGGTCTCAGGTGACAGGCACCAGGAGCCATGACTACAGCCCGCCCTCTGGGGAGCCAAGCACATACTCTTACTGTTGCCAGAGCCACCACACTGCTGGAGGAATCAGGGCTTTCCTTTCTGCTTGCCTTTCACAAGAATGATGTGGCTTGCAGGAGGGAGGATGGCTTCTAGCTAGCCCAGTCTGTGAATGTGGAAGCTTCATCCCCCTAGAGCTCTTCCTTGTTGATACTTGTTTCCTTCTGCTTGTGCCAGCAATAGCCCTAGAATTGCACAAATCCAACCATCCAAGGGCTAACCAGCAGGTAAGACAGTCACCCAGATGCACATGGTCACAGGAGACAGTACTGTGGGGTGAGCAAAAACAGTACCAGAGGGGGACTCAAATGCCCAGGGATCTGGCTGCCAACCACTTGAGCTAGGGCAAGTTGTTAATCATTTCCTTTTTATCTGCAAATGAAGATAATGACCACAGCCTCCCATCCTTGGGGTGAAGGGAGAAAATGGATGTGACTGCGTTATTAACTGTGTGGATCTGTACAAATGAAAGGGATCAATATTATTATTATAGCGTGTGGTGCTTTGTCCCCCTACCTCGTCAATTATATCGGTCATTGATGGCTGGAATGAAAAAATCTTCCCAAATGCCTCTGAGATTTCTTTAAAGTTAATGGTGCTAGGGAAAGAAAGAATATCAAGTCATCCCCCAGGACCCTATCTGCTTGTATTAAAAAGCACACAACCAAAGATTTTAATAATCAATGCACTGAACAGCCCTGATAATTTATGCTAATAGTCACGTTATGATGTGGAACGAGAAACAGCTTAATCCTGCTCCCTGCAGTCTCCGCCTCAGATCTCCTCCCTCGGCATGAAAGGGTTTTGAGCACAAACCCCCTTCTTTGTCCCTCTCACGAAGTGGCATTTGCTGCCTCTCCTGGTTACCTGGTAACACATATTAGCACAGACCTAGGTTTCTAAGTGGAGCTGGAATTTCAACCAAGGTGTATTTTCTAAGATTCAGGGTCTCAGGAGCTCACTGAAGCTGCCAGGGCTCAATGCCCTGCTGTCTTGCCGTCTGTAGGATCCCAACCCTTTCCCAATGCTAACAAATAGGGCACACACACTGAACAGTCCAGCCTTTAAAGTAATGAGAGCAATCATCATCATCATAATACTAAGGCCATACCACCTTACCAGTGATAAGCTCAACCAATAATTCAGAATGTATTGAAGACCCAAGTATGAATAATTCTTACTGTTGGAAATTGTTTTTGCATCCTTCTTCTAATTTTGTTTTTGTATTTTTAGTACAGACAGGGTTTCACTGTGTTAGCCAGGATGGTCTCGATCTCCTACCTTGTAATCCACCCGCCTTGGCCTCCCAAAGTGCTGGGATTACAGGCGTGTGCCACCGTGCCTGGCCTGCCTGGCTATTTTCAGAGGGTCGCCGCACAGCTAGTCTGCTAGCAACCTGATCAGTAAGGTGCTGTGCACCTGCCACGCTTGAATCTTGGGGGTTTCTCAATCTGGGTCCACCTTCCTGTTTTTCCCAAGGTTCGTCACTTGTCCCTCTATTTAGCACTGGGCTATAGCTCCTGAGAGAAGCCTTGAAGGATGGGGAGAGCATCCCAAGGCTGGCAAGGGGGAGGCACAGCATGAACTGAGGCTCAGAAGTGGGAACCCTTTGGTGGGTGTGCAAGTGGGCCCATGGGGCCGAGGCCTGGTAGGATGGTTGGGAAAGGAGAGGACACCCCAGAGTAGTTTGGGGTAGGCCATTGCAAGCCTTGGGTGCCAGGCCGAAGGCGGAAGTTTCATTCTGCACTTTGGGAGACTGAGGTGGGAGGATTGCTTGAGGCCAGGAGTTCAAGGATAGCCTGGGCAACACAACAAGATCCTGTCTCTACAAAAAATTCTAAAAATTAGCTGGGCAAGATGGCATGTGCCTATAGTCCCAGCTACTTGGAAGGCTGAGGCAGGAGGGTTCCTTGAGCCCAGGATCACAGTGAGCTGTGATCAAGCCATTGTACTCCGCCTGGGAGACACAGTGAGACCCTATCTCAAAAAAAAAAAAAAAAAAAAGATGGATGCAAAAGCAATTTCCAACAGTAAGAATTATTCATATGCGAGTCTTCCATACATGTGTGTGGATCAAAGGATCACTCTCATTATGTGGCAGTTTGGGGCGCTTCAGGGCATAGGAGGAAAGGGCAGAATTTAAGCCTGAAAACTGCTTCCCCAGGCTCCTGAGAGGCACGTATAAGGAACCTCATACACTGTCAGCAACACAATAAATACTTCCCGAGGTCTCATTCCATGAAATCTAGGTGCTTGGGTTCCAAAGGAGTCAGGAGGGGTGATTTTCTTGCCAATATTGAAGCAGAACAGCCCTGCTCTGACTCACAGTCTGTTTCCCTTCAACCGGGGTCCCCAGGGGCATTGTTAAAAAATGCTCCCGCTGTGTCTTCTGAATAAAAGATGGCTTTAGGGCAGCACAGAATGAGCTGCTGCCTGGGCTAGGAAACATCCCCTGTCCAAACCTTCATGCTTTATCTGGACACAAGGGCAGAGGCCACACAAGCACTTCAGGACAGACAGTGACAGGCAAACAGTGCCCGGTTCTGTGGTGGATGACACAAAGGCTGATGCAGAAGAAGGGCTGAACCCCGGGGAGGCCTGACGCCTGTCGCTAATGAGATCATGAAAAGCAGTTCTGAGTTGCTTCCGTGTGGCCCCACGAACATCTTTATTCCCTGGGTCTGTGCCTGGGGTGGGCGTCAGAGTCTGTAGATCAGAGTGGAGGGGCTGTCACATTTACTTGTCATTTGGTAATTTTCAGTGAATTAGGGGTATGGAGTTTCCATCTGCCATCTGGCCTCACTCTGGTAACCATGGTAACCACCATCTGCCTGACTTAATACTATCAAGTCCTATGCCGAAAGAGCACTGGACAGGGTGTTGGGACCAGGGAGCTGGTCATCCTTTACTGGTCACCCTGGACAAGGGCTCTGACCTTACTGGGTCTCAGTCTCTTTCTCTGTATAACAGCAGATTTGGTCTGAATGTCTTTAAGGTGCCTTTCTCTTAGGAAGAGAATGCCACTCTGGGGAGAAATTATCTAAGACCATCAGCACCACTTACAGTCTAGGGACCTGGTCAGCATTTCTTATGTCTCCTGCATATGGAGTTAAAGTGTTACCTGTCTGGAGACAAAGAGAATTGCCTGTGAATTAACTGCTGAGGAAAGCAGATTATAAAAACGAGTGATAGGAACTAGCAAAAGGAAAGAGACAGGACTGCTTAAGTGCCACATGGCGGAGACAAACTGTTTCAAGTGAGAGGGACCTCAACAATGACTCCACTGGGGCTGATACGGAAAGAGAGGAGAAGGGGCCTGTCCAGGGCCACTCAGGGAGCCAGCGGCAGCACAGATGCACCCCCAGCCAGCTCTGTCCTCCATGGGGAGCTTCAGCTAGGAACAGTCAATGGTGACTTTCCTGTGCTCAACTGGCCACACACTGGTTTTACATTTCCCAGGACAGAAGGCTTCCTGCCCCATCTCCAACAACCCATTGTGTCTCCTGGACTTGGGTACATCTACCTGAACTACTTGAGGGGAAAGACTACTAGATCCTTCTTAAGGCTTGGGAAGAACCCCACCCCAAGCTTCTTTCTTGAAGCTAAGTCATTACATTGTCTTAGGCCCTAAAGTCTGGACTTGGTCTCTGGGCTCAGGCCAGAATTATTTCCCAGAAGCCTGAACCCCAGGCTGAAACCTAGGCTCCTTGGGACTCACTGGTCGCCGTCTCACTCACCCTAAACTCTTCACTGCCCACTCCAGACAGAGTACACAGGGGCACTTCTCCAATACCTAATGGGTGGGATACGCTCATGCTTAGGAAGCTGGTAAAGCAGTACTAATGTTTTGGTTTCTTTTTGTTTGGTTTTCAAAAGGTACATAAAGAGAGTGGGCAACTATAGCACACAGAGATTATTTTACTTTGATGTTAATGAAGCTTAAGTTTCTAAGTCCCTAACATTTCATAATAAGTTTCGAAGTCCCTAGCAGTTCTATTCCTTTACTTAAGACAGGATTCTCCAAATTATATATGTTTTAGACCCTCGAAACCTGGGTCTGCCCCTAATAGCACCACAAGATCTTTTCAGATCTTACGTCTCCAGAGGTCTTACTTTTCCTGGGTGGAGCTCCCTCAGCATCCCAGCTCAGCCCCATTCCACACCTGGGGCCCTGGTGCTCTGGTGCTATGGCCTGGTGACTCCTGATTCCCCAGTCTGGAACTCATCCTCCTCCCGCATCTTCAACTTCCCTTCCTCCCCGTTCAAACAATCCACCTAGCGCTGGATACCTGGGAACTCTGATCCCCCTCCTCAACTCCCAGTCTCCTGCCCGGCAAACATACCATGCCTACAAATAAGTGACTGCATCAGCAGGTACTTACGTACCAAAAGGGGTAGCAGGCTCACCAAAAATTCGACTAGCACAGTGAGTGGCGTCTCCAAGGATTCTCGTCCCAGTCTCTCTGAGCACGAGGAGAGATACGAAATACTGCTCTCTAAAGGGAAACTGAGTCCCAGGCAGAGCCGTCCACCACTGGGCAGGGGGATCCTTCGCTCCACACCCCAAAGGGTTGGAATCCCCCCTTCTCTACCCACCCGATCCCCGACCCCGACTCACCGAACTCGCAAGGGCCGTCGCGTGCCTTGTGCAGGTGACCGGGGTGCGCGCGAGGCTTGTGCCGGGCGCGCAGGCGCAGCGCGCAGACACTGGGGTAGGAGCGACCGTCAGAGCCGCAGACGGTGCCGCGCTGCGCGCACACGCAGAGCCCAGTGCCCTCGGGCGCCGCCCCCGCGGCCCGGCTCGCGCACACCAGGCCGGGGCCACAGCGCGCGCCGGCTCGGCCCCCGCAGCTCGCGCCCTCGGCTCCCAGGCAGCGAGAGCAGCAGCCGCACTCATCGCGCGCCGAGATCCCGGGCGCCGGGCAGGGCGCGGGCGCCGGGCAGCGCTCCGGCCGGCACAGACCACACTCGGGGCGCCGGCCACCCGCGTCGCGGATCCCGAGGCTTGGGGACAGCGGCGGCAGCAGAAGCAGCAGCGGCAAGAGCAGCGACAAGCGCGGCATGGCTTGCTCCGGGACAGCGGCGGCGCCTCTGCTTCGCGCTCCGCTCCGCGCCCGCCAAGCAGCCACCGCTCCCGCCCCGCGGCCGCTGATTGGCCGGGCCTGCACCGCGGGGCGCCCGCAAACCGCTGCTCCAGCCCGGGACCCGCGCGGTGCCCGCGGCCCGGGGCTCCGAGCTGGAGGGGCGGCCCGAGAGCAGCTCCCTGACTTCCGACTGGACTCTTGAGGGAACCGAGACCCAGTCGGGGGAGAACTTGCCCGAGGTCGCTGTGGTAGAGTCAGGATTGGATAACGGTACAGTCTCCGGATCCAAGGCTGGTTCCAGATAGTATGCCCGTAAATCCTCCCAGAAGGATGCGCTGTTTTATTTAATTTTATTTTGCATTCGGTAGTTTAAGAAGTTTTATTTTATAAAGAGAATATATGTTTTAAAATGTATATTTTACATATACATCTAAGGATGAAAAGAGGGGTTTCCCTACCACCTTGTATCACCATCCTCCAACTCGACTCCCAGAGGCCACTCTTGCTATTGGGTTTTTGTGTATCTTTGCAGAAATTTTCTCTATGCCTATAAAAGCATATGTGCCTATAAAAGCCCTTTCCTTTAAAACACACACACGCTGTTTCTCTCCCACACACACGGAGTAGCGTGCCATATACATTAGTCTGCACTTGGTTTTTCCACTTAACATTATTTCACAGTTTCCCCACCTCTTGTCATCTCTGAAACTGAGTTTCTTGTACAATCAACGGCAGCATAGTTCATTGGTTCTGTGAGTGTGTTTCTTAATGCTACGTAAAGTCATGGTGCATCTCCGTCCACAGTGACTTTGTTATGATGAGATATGGTGATATGTTTTGGAGTTCATATAGAGTGGCATTTCCACAGGGTTTAGTTGCAGTTACTTAACCAGTTGTTTTCCATCCTTCGGTTAATACGAATAATGCTTTGATGAAGTCTCTGTGCACAAGGGTCAGTGTACCTGTGGATTAGTGGGGAATGCATGTTGGAAAGACGCAGGTTCTTGTAGTCAGTTACTCATGCCGCCGTTGTGCCTTCTCTGGGCCAGGCTCTGTGCACACCATCCTGCCTGAGTCCTGGCAGGACACCCAGATGAGAAACCTAAGAGGGTCTTGGCTGCTGGGATTTGATGTGTTGCCAGGTAAAGGCATTGAATGGAGGGAGGGACTCGCTGACCAGGTTTTATGGGAGACTTTTCCTGCCTTTACTGGCCACCTCTCATTTGTCTTGTGCTCTATTGTTTTTTCTTTGCTGAACTCCTAGAGATGGAGAAAGCCTCTTGCAGCCTGGGAAGACCAGCTACAGCATTCTTGGGTGGAGTTCATTTTGTTTTCAAGCCTAGTTGCTTCCCAGTTTGCAGTCTTCTTATTCCTAAAAAGGAACCTCTTCTGAGGCCACTTTATGTGGTGGTCAGAGGAGAGCCATCTGCCTGGTCGACGCTGGGCCTTACCTTACAGTCAGCCACACAGAGCAGGGGTGGTCAGGCACCATGAAGGGGTGGTGGTAAGGAATAAATATAACAATGTTGCTAATGCACTCAGCGCAGCTCTCAGAATGTATTAACGATGACTTTCAACCTGAAGGCTGCTGTCTTTACCAGGAGTGGCCTTTTAAAGTGCTCTCACCCCTTGATCTCTCTGTGCTCTTCTAGGAATCTCTCCTAAAAAAAAGATCACTATGTGTGAAGATTTCATCCTGGAGTTGGTCACTACAGCAAAAAACAAAAAAAACAAAAAAAACAAAAAAAAAACCAAAACGGAAACGACCTTAATGCCCACTGAGAGGCAATCATTGAATAAATTATGGTGCGTCTAACAATAGAGGATTATGTAGGCATTAAAAATTAGAAGATATGGGTTAATAGAAATGCAAACATGTTTATAATACATTATTTAGTAAAATAGCAAATTAAAAAGTACACATCTAATGTAATGGCATACTTGTAAATATGTGAATATGTAAACATGCAAGAATTTAAGATTATTTAATGATGTGAAGGGAACACTTTTTTTTTTTTTAAAGAAATGATACCTCATTCTGCTCCCCAGGTTGGAGTGGAATGTCATGATCATAGCTCACTGCAGCCTCGAACTCCTGAGCCTCAAACCATTCTCCCTCGCTCAGCTTCCTGAGTGGCTAGACTACAGATGAGCACTACCATGCCTGGCTAATTTAAACAATTTTTGTTTTTCAGGGGTACGGTCTCACTATGAGAAGGAAACACTTAACAAAGCTGGATTTGCAAACAAAAGAGATGAGCGAACTCCATGCTGCTTTTCAGGACAACTTTGCTGGTAAGTTCAAACTTTCTAATGGTTCATAGTTGTTCAAAGAGAGATTAGGCTGCCCCAGAGATAGTGAGGTCCTTGTCAAAGAAGGAGTTTAAGAATGAGTCTTGGCAAGGAGCATCGAGGGGGTCAGAATTAGGGGTCAGGGGAGTTGATGTTTGATTACCTCGAACTGAGCCACCATTCCCATAGTACAGTGCCTGACCCTGAGACCTGGACTGTACAAAACATGGTCATGATTGAGAAATAAATGTGTACAAAAATGATTTGCCTCCTTTTTATGCAGACATTAAAGGAGCGGTAAGTGAACGGTGTCATTATAATGAAGTTAATGTGTGCTTAATGCAGGTTAGGATACACAATCTCACAGAGGCACATTTACATATGATCTACATTCCTTTCAAATGGTAGGGAGAGTATTAGGTATGCATAATGACTCTTTGGGAATTAAATCAGAAGACTCATTTTCCAACGCTGAGCCTGTGGCATCAAAGCCCCTGTATCTGGGTGGAGAAAACATTCCCAAGCTTTGAAGGTGATCAGTCTTGTCTATTTCCTTTTAAAATTGCCCGCAAGCCCATAGCCCAGCAGAGGCTTTTGTGCTCTTTCATCTCTCTGGTTCCCAGGGTATCAGTTAACACTGTGGGCCATACCTGTGGGCCCCCTAAGATGATGGGAGAAAGTAGGGACAAATTCTCCCAGTCGGGAAGGGGGTTGAGGTTCCCCTGTTGTCTGCCAGGTGGAGAAATCCCATGCATCCGGGTAAGTAATTAGGCAACAAGAATGGGTGTGATTTTCTTCCTCTTCATCTTCCAGCCTGAACACAAACACAACACAGGGAAGACTAGTCAATCCCCCATTCAGAGCAGATGTATGCCCACCCAGCAGCTGCTGAAGTGGGTATGAATGTCCCATTCATTTATTCCTCCCTTGAACGTAGAGATAAATGGCAGATGTTCTCTGTCCTTGGAGAGCTTCCAGCACAGAGGAAGAGGACAGGAGCTCAGTTGAGCAAAGGCCACTCCATAAATAGGCCATGGATTTGAACCTCAAGCTTTCACAGTTAGGGCAATCATAGATAGTCTTTCTCCAAGCTAAGGGAAGGTGAAAGCCCTTTCTCCAGACCTCTGGTGGGCCATTACAGAGCAGAAGGCAAGGTGGGTGTCTAGAGGGAAGTTCCATAAATGACAGATGGGATTTTTAGGGAGACAGATTTCACTTCAATATTGCGTGCAAGGGGGTGTAGCAAGATGTAGAACTCTGCAAAGATGGGAATTCAGATACTGAGCAGACAAAAAAGAATGATAGAGGATTTGCTGTCCTGCTGTAAACCACTATATAACTTTGACAAATTAAAGAAAACAGCTATGGACAGGTACTGGACAGTGTTCTAACACAGGGCTGTGATCCTTGAGAGTGTCAGGGGGCACACAATGTGAGCCCCACATCTACCCAAACTTTCTTCCTGGGGACACTTTCCAGGCCACTGTGCAGGGAGGTGGAGGCCAAGCAGTCTCACTGGACGGAAGAGGTAGACATCAGAATTCAAGACTTAGGCAGAGATTTGGGGATCTAGGACAGAAAATGAGGAACCACAGAGAGGGAGTCCCACAAGTCTTAGACCTTTGGCTGACCCTGTACTGCACAAGTACAGGGCAAGACTTGAGGGCAGTTGCTGGGAGGTGAGAGCTGAGCAGAGATTTGGGGCTCACACCGTCCTGATGAGATTTTAGAGTTCAGGCCCAACCAGAATGAACCGCCCCAGCCCCCCTGGGGTTCTTTCTCCAAGCTCAGTGACACTAGCATCAGCCAAGTGGTTGCAGAGGTCTGAGTTTGAGCTCTAAGGACCCCTCCTGTATGCATCTAAGTTTTAGTCATTCCAACCATTTCCATTGTTCTCCTAGCCCTAATGGTGGTAGCTGCTTCACAGTTGCTACCTCCAAGTTGCCTAATTAATAATAATTCTTCTTCTTCCTTCTTTCTTCTTTCTTTTCTTTTTTTTTTTTTTTTTTTTTGAGACAGGGTCTGGCTCTGTCATCCAGCCTGGAATGCAGCAGCATGATCTTCGCTTATTGCAACTTCTGCCTCCTGTGCTCAAACTATCCTCCTGCCTCAGCCTCCTCAGTAGCTGGGGCTACAGGCATGTGCCACTATGCCTGGCTAATTTTTGGGTTTTTTTGTAGAGACAAGATTTTACCATGTTGTCGAGCCTGGTCTTGAACTCCTGAACTCAAGTGATCTGCCCACCTCAGCCTCCCAAAGTGCTCAGATTACAGGCATGAGCCACTGTGCCCAGCCAATAATTCTTTTTTTTTAAATTATTATTTTTTGAGACAGAGTCTTGCTCTGTCACCCGGGCTGGAGTACAGTGGTGCTATCTTGGCTCACTGCAACCTCTACCTCCTGGATTCAAGCAATTCTCCTGCCTCAGCCTCTCGAGTAGCTGGGACTATAGGTGTGTGCCATCATGCCCTGCTGATTTTTGTATTTTTAGTAGAGACAGAGTTTTGCCATGTTGGCTAGGCTGGTCTCGAACTCCTGACCTCAGGTGATCCACCACCCTTGACCTCCCAAAGTGCTGGGATTACAGGCATGGGCCGCCATGCCTGGCCCAATAATTCTTTATATTACATACCATTTGTAGGCTTGGCACAGTGGCTCACGCCTGTAATCCCTGCACCTTGGGAGGCCAAGCTGGAAGGATTGTGCCAGGAGTTCAACAGACTGGGCAACACAGTGAGACCTCTTTTCTACTAGCAAAAACTTATAAAGTTTGCTGGGCATGGTGGTACATGCCTCCAGCTACTCAGGAGGCTGAGGTGCGTGGATCACTTGAGCCTTGGAGTTCAAGACTGCACTGAGCTGTGATCAGGCCACTGTACTCCAGCCTGGGAAACAGAGCTGTTGCTTGCCTGAAAAAGATAAAAAAGGGGAATGAATTCTATTTGTCATCTGACTAGGCCTGAGTGATCCAGCTAATAGAACCAAGAGTGGTCCCAGGAAATAACTGTCGAAGATGGGTCATAATCGGAGAACTAGAAAGCTTAACTACAAATATGCTTCAAAAATAATACAAATTATTTATTTAAATGATAAATGAGAATACGTTTCTTGCAACTGCAGGGTCAATATTACTGAAAATGACACAAAAAAATGTAATTGTGTGTGTTGCATGATTATAAGTTGAATTCACAGGCTTGCCAGTCTCTTATGTGAAAGTTAGGGAATGAGAACCTGAGACTTGGAATGGGGAAATCGGGGTGGACTCAGATGAAGCTGAGAATCCTGAACCCTTGAGTCATTCTGAGCTTCCTTTGCCAATGGAAGCAGCTTGCCTGTCATGTCTGAGAAGACTCTCTTTCCCTTGCTTAAGGACTCTGTGTTAAGATCACCCAAGGCAGTTGCCTTGCAAGGGATACCTTTTCTCCTCTGGCTTGTGGCCACTAGACTCTCAACTGACATCAGAAGTCTAGGCAGTTGAGTAGGGCACATACAAGATTTGCCCTGGGAAGATTTAGCTTCTATACCAAAAAAAAAAAAAAAAGGCAAGATTTTGCTACATGACATTGTAGAAACCTGGAGAATATATGCATGAATAGATTCTTAGGGTATTAGACCAAGGAAGGCAGAATAGAATTTAGCATCAAGTCAAATTTATTGATACAAGTGCACTGATCAGAGATTCTAGATTCAATGTGTTAATTTGTGCAGGGGGAAAAGGCTCTACAGTTTACTTAGCTGCTTGAGAGGAACGGGGATTCAAAGGTGACCTGTATTTAAAGATACTGAGATGCCAGAACATCCTTGGTGTGTTGTAGGGGATGGGATAAAAAGGCTTAGGGAGATGTTGGGATCGATTTGTTATAGACAACTCGCACACTCACCTACCCAACCAACCACTACATTCTCCAGGGGGGCCCAGAGGACATTCCCTTCACTATGACATTGGGAAATTCATTAATGAGGGGACCACTACTGTCCTTGAAGACTTGGTGGTGGCTCTCCTCTTCTGGCCACATGTGAAGATAAGAGATGCTACCACTGAGCTGGGCTCCTTAATCCACTGGGAATCATGGGATCCCAGAATAGCAGAGGCCAAGTGGTAGCATCCAACTGCCAAGGGCAGAGCAGGGCACATACATTGTAATGGGCAGTAAGATGGTGAGCATCACTGTGTTTTGACTCACAGGAATCTTGGCATTGGCTAGTTGTCACAGTGTCCCTAGGACTGAAAGAGATGGGCATCCTACTAAAATACTGTGTGCTCCATATAACAGGGAAAACTCCACACCTGGTGTCCAGAGCCTGTTTTGAATCACCACAGTGGAGAGCCAGAATTTCTTGTCCCATTTTCAGACTTAGTATTAACCCAGAGCCTCTTCTTTGAAAGGATGGCGGGGTCCCCTTAAAGAAGGACTCTTTACAAGTGTATCCTATAAACCATCCTGTAAGCCCCTCCCCAGAGGGACCTCTGACCATTTACGAGAGTGACCCACCGTAGCCCACAGTTAAAGTTGGGGCATACAGCGCTCAGGGCCCAAGTTCAGATCACAGAGCACACATCCTGTGGTTACTTCCCCACTTCCTAAATAGAATAGTTGCACTTGGCAACCAGCAAAATCCCAACATCAGCTCTGTGACACAAAGTGGAAGCCCCTGGAACTTCCTTTCTGACCAGGAGGGTAAAATATCTGCTGCCAGTTTCCTCACAAATAATTGACAAAGAGTTCATCTTGCCAACGGGAGAATTCACTTTCTTAGAAGGCAGCACAGCCTAGTCTCATAGGAGGAAAGCACTTGCCCCCTTTTACATGCCTTTGGCCCTCTTCCTTTCAAAATAATAATGTGCCATTATTGTGCTAAGAGCATTTGATTGCTTTCTGATCCAGATCAACAAAAAAATTACACAGCAAGTCCTTATTTAACACCGTGGATAGGTTCTTGGAAACTGACTTTAAGTGAGACAACGTATAACAAAACCAATTCTATGTAGGCTAATTAATACA